TTTTTTTTTTGTCAAATTTTTAGATACAATAAAGAGCGTGGTGTGGTTTTCAACACATATCAAGCATATCTGAAGAGCTGCTTGCGCGATGTTGAACTGGATATGAACATCGCCAGACGGGAAAATTTTCATTTTGGATGTAAAGTTGTTCGTGGCGCCTATATGGGGCAGGAAAGGGAGCGTGCTGCTGCGTTAGGCTACGAGGATCCAATTAATCCAAATATCGAGGTAAATGCCTCATCAGCGAGAACCTAAGCTCCTTCCAGTGATGATGTGAAGCGGAGGAAATTTCTCATTTTCAGGCAACGGCCGAGATGTACAAGCAGGTTGTGCAACGAATAATCAACGAGCGTGTGGAACGCGGGGTCGGCTCAGTATCCGTTATGGTTGCAACGCATAACGAGGAGAGCATCAAGCAGGCCGTGGAAATGATGCGCAATGCAAGAATCTCACCGTCCGAGAAAACAGTCTGCTTTGCGCAACTTTATGGAATGTGCGATCAGGTCCGGTGATTTCCTCAAGTCTGCTTTACTCGCGAGTCACGCACAGTATTCGTAATCTACAAATGTTACTTTGAGAAGGTCAGGATGTTTTCGGAGCTTCACCGATAGGGGTTTCACCAGCATAACGGTTCTTCCGGGATGCTTCCAAACGGACCGCACATAAGCAGATAAAAAAGAGTTCTGATTCAAGCAGACCACAATAGCATATCCTGCACGGTAAGGAGCTTTTTCGGGTGCACTATCCGGTCATATCCTGAACATTTCAATCCTCCTTTTCAGGTCTCGTTTTCATTGGGTCAGGCCGGTTATTCAGTGTACAAGTACGTCCCATACGGACCAATTGATGATGTTATGCCTTACCTCTCTCGACGAGCTCAGGAAAACGGAGCTATTTTGTCGAAGGCTAAAAGAGTAAGTGTTGCTCACTTCAGTGATGTTTTTCGAGAAATTTCTAGCCAATTCCCGCATGATCATTTTGAGTGAAATCATCATTTTGGAATTTACACGTCAATAGTACCACTGAAGCACCTTCAACGGGAGCTGTAATTTTCAGGATGTTGGTTTGATGTCCAAGGAATTGGTACGAAGGATTTTCACACTTAATGGGAGACTGTTCGCTTAATAATATGTATCATACATCAAAATCAGTCATATTTTTGTTTGCTAAATTATGATGACAGGGAATCGGGAGTGTAATAGGGTGGCACAGTTGGAAATGTATTGTACTTGTCCGTGTTCCACCACTAACTTTATTTGGTGTATAGTGTTCGTGAGGCAGCCAGTATTTCAGACGCTTTTTATGGATGCTAAAATGCAGGTCATTGGTAGTGCTTGGGGAATTTCTGGATGCTGCAAAACGCATCACCAGAATTTTTGTAAATGTACCGTTACATTTCTGAATGTTTTCAACGTTTGACACTCTGGAACAAAACCTTAAAAAAATTTATTAGTAAACCATGCAATAGCAATTGCCGCTTCACCTGTGATATGATGATAGTATTAAACAACGGAATGATAGTGATTAGCAGTGATATGAAATGCAATATGAGTTCTTTGATTCAGATCACCCCAAGCTGCTTGCCAATTGTCTTGAAGGCATTAATGCAGTGGTCGATTTGCTGCCGTGTATGTGCCGCAGAAATCTATAAAAATCTATTTTTGTACAGCACTGAATCAAGTAACCTATAACAAGAATACCAAAAGGGGCCGGAAAATCGGCGTGAGTTCCCATGTTAGTGATGTTACTGAGATGCTCTAACATGCTGTGCGCATCTAGCCAGGGTTTTTGATCCCGAACCTATAATATATCCTAAAACAGCACAAAAACAGGATTTATGTGTAAACGATCTCAGTTCAAAAAAAAAAATGCACATTACTTCATGACAAAAATCCTGAAGCTTTCTACTGCTTTATGCACGCTCTTAATGTCATATATCCCAATAACAATATTCGTCTTTGGTAAATATTAGTCCCAGTGCATAAACAGTTCCCCGACTTTTACGAAATGGTGCCAAGAAGTGCAGTATTTTCAAATGCACAGTTAAAAAAATAAGTTAATGAAAAAAAAAA